CATCCAGGCAGATGTGGGGCTGGAGGAGCTGAGTTCTACCTCTTGTTCTGAAGGCAAACAGAAGACTGGCTCCTATGTGGTTAGGAGGAGGGTCTCATTGCCCATCCCACAAGTGACACACTTCCTCCAACAAGGTCACACCTCCTAACAGTGCCACTCCCTGGGCCAAGCATATTCAAACCACCATACCTGTGTGCCTTGCTATGAGGAGTGAACAGAAGTAACAAGGCAGTAGCCACCTCACATTTGCTTCCTGTGCCAGCCTCTCTGATGGCAGTTCCCTCCCGCTACTGCATCCCTGTCCTGGAGGGCTCAAGGACCCCAACATGATGTGTATTCTTGACTCTTCTCCTCCTGCTACTCCAAGCCCTGGACTTACCCGAATTGCTCCTTGTTCTCCTAAGTTATTGTCTCATTAAACTCAGGCTGTTGCCTTTAAAACCCCACAGCTGGAAGTATCTCTCCTTCACCCTGCAAAGCTCCAGTACACAGGAATCAGGCAAATGGCATCTTCTAGGAAGCCTTCCCCACCTTCAGAGCAGTACCCCCTATTATTTCCATTTCTCTGTGTCAAGTGTTTATATTCCCTGAATTGTGGCCATCTCTGGGAATGTGAGTTAGGTTCCAGTGTCCTGGGCACAGGAGGTGCCAAGGGTTTCAGGTAAGGTCATTGTTGGCCTTTCGACCTGATATCATTTTTGTGTAAAGTGGACGTGAGTTTTGATAGGCAGCAGCCAACCTCACCCAGCTACATCCTGCCTCCTTGAGTCTTTGGAGAATGGCCATATGCCTTTTCTAGGGCTGTTGAGCACTGAGGGGTGTGTCTGGCAGAACAGGACTGGCACTAAAAGGAGACTTGCTGGTAGCCTCTCACCCCATTCCCTGCTCTGCCCTCAGGCATCTCACTTTCGTTTTGGTGGTCATCAGTTGTAGCCTCATTTTGATAGTTCATATGGAGTCAGAGGTATGCAACCTTCATTATCAACTGGCTGAGAGAGTGTGAGTTCAGGAGCATCTCCTTAATCACTGGTGTCCACCCCAACTTTTGGTTGCTATGGCGATTCTTTGACATTCCCCCATCTTGCACATTAGGAATGCATATTTTTCTAAGTCTGGCTGCCCTGAAAGCAAGGACTGCTAGCCAAGGATCCACCCCCTCTAACAGGAAGGAAGGCTGAAGGTGACATTTTTGGCCTCAGCTGTCACTAATGAACCTAATCTTCCTGTGGTAGGTTTCCACAAGTCAAGTGTCTCATGGACACTCTTCTGTGTTCAGGTGTTCAGTCTTCTAGGGACACGCAAGGTTCCTGCAAGGGCTGACTTGTTCAAGAAGCCTGCTTGTTTCAAAGGGAGGCGACCACACCTTCCTGCTCAGTCTATTTTCCTGGGTCAGTGAGGTAGAGAGGAATTGGGTGGTACCCTGGGGCTGGTCTTACCCCTTTCGCATGCATACATGTACACACACACATACACACACACACACACTTGGTTACTGTGGAGACACACACACACACACAAACTTGGTTACTGTGGAGACACACACACACACACACACTTGGTTACTGTGGAGACAGAAATTTGTCTCAGGGCAGAATTTCTCCCCCATAAGCAAGACACTCTTCTTTCGTCTTTTTTGTCTCCCCTGCCCCATTGCCACGAAACCTTGACACAAGTTCATTCCTTTAAAAGTTTATTTCTGATGAATAAAAAAAATAATTTATGTGATTAGATAAATTAATTTATGTGATTAAACATTATGACAAGGGCAGAGCTTCCCTTTCTTGCCTTCTGACAGACACAGCTGCAGAGGGGCTCGCATGCTACTGCTTCCTGATGGGCAGCGAGCTAGGTTCCGGGGAGACCAGGTAAAACCTAGCCTGTTTCACAGAAAAGTGTCAGCCCTTCTTCATAGTATTGTGAGAATACTGGAAGGTCCCTCCTCATGCTCACTCCTCATGCAATGGAGCAGTGGTGTCAGGGGGTTTGGGGAGGAGGCCTCCCTGGCAGAGGTGGCCGACCCTAGGGGAAGGACTCTATGGAGAGGTAAGACCAGAGCCACCAGCATAGCCCCTAAGACCTTTGGCTTTTAGGACGCTGGGCACTGTTGCCTCTCAGCCTGTAAGTTATCATTCCCTTCCAATTCCTTGCATCTTGCTTAATCTCTTAGATGTGTCTATGTGCCCAGTTACAGAGTTGCTTTCCTTTAGGTGTCTGAGCAGAGCATACAGTCAGTGCTGGGATCTTAAGCCTTACATCTCAGAGGTGCTACCTTAGGCCAGAACCGCAGAGCTCAGGGAGATTTGGGGAACCACCTGCTAGAGAGGAAAGAGGAGGTGCAGCAAGCACTTCTTAACCACCTCCACCCTGGTTCCTTCATGAGGTTCTGGTTCTGGGGCCACTTAGGAGGTGGGGATAAATACATGCTTTTAGGTGGTGGGACATTTTGGCTAGTCTGTGTGTTGCTGGGAACAAACCCAGGGCCTTGCACTTACGAGACAACCATTTCAACACTAATTTACACCCACTAGCCTTTGGTTTTCTGAGACAGGACCTTGCTACTCAGCCCAAGTTGGCCTTAAGCTTCCGATTCTCCTGCCTCCACCTCCCCAGTGCTGGGATTCTAAATGTACGCCATCACACCTTGTTAATACAGGTTTTAACACTTGGTTTCAGCTGTCTGTACTCTCACCAGCTGGTAGAGAACTCAGACAAGCAGATGAGTGTGCTGAGAGGCTTGCGGGGGGGTGGTGGTGGTGGTGGTGTCTGAACTAAGAGTGTGTGCCAGCAGATCTGTGGTGACTTAGCCCTGAAAGCCGTGCACGATCTGAAGCCAGGGCAGCTGCTTCTGGAAACCACCAGTGACAACTAACTGGAGGACTGCCTAGGTCCTAAGTATCTGCTTATGATGACCCCCAAGACCACCAAACAAACCAAATGCAATTCCCTAGCCGGCAGGCACCTCCTCCTTTTGATTATCAAAAATGGAAATTCTGGACAGGAAGATCAATATAAGGACTCTATACCCAACGTTGGCCTCTCTCATGGGACCAGAGGCAGGAGAGCACTCAACTGCATATCTAGTCCCCCCTCTCACAGAGGGATGAATTCCATGTTCGAGGCCTTGGACCAGTTGGCCTTGAAACTACTCCAAAATGCAATTCACTACATCTGCATTTTGTCTTCCTTAGGAGCCAAAAGTCCCCTCGGTGCCTCTGGGGACACCAGTAGCAGCATTAAGTAATGTCCATGGTCCAGCATTTCATCCGTTTCATGAAATGAGGAGAGATCCAGCCAGCCACAAGGACATTCACATACATGGACACAGCATGAGTCAGCAAGGGACAGGTGAGAGAAACAGGTCCATGACCATGGCAGTGATACCCGGGAACAACTTTCCCCCAAAGTTCCTAGTGCACACCACTCCAGCCAGGAGGGCATACTCCCACTGTCCTGAAACTTGGCTCACAGCTGGAAGGGACAGCCCTTTGCCTTTCATTTGTTAGAGGTTTTCTCTTGTATCCAGTTCTTCGAAGGTTTTCAACAATCCTGGGGCAGTGAAAGACACCCAGTATCTGTCCCTGTCCTGTCCCTGCAATGTCCAATGTGACAGGGAACAGGTGGAGGGAGGAGGGAGGGGCAGCTGCCTAGAAGCATATCCTACAGGAAAGAGGGGGAGCTGGCTGCAGGAGGGCCTCTTGTCCTACTGTGAGGTCACTACCACATCTTGATCATGAACTTTGGGGTCTGGCTTAATAGTTTCGGACAGTACCCAGCAAAGGCATGAAGAGTTACACCCAGAGAGGGTGAGCCAGGCAATCTGCTTTTCTGTGAGCATCAAGGGTTCCCAGCCCCGAGGCTCTCCAGCAGCCCTGCTCCACTGGATCTGATGCTGGCATGCGACCACTCCTTCCATGTGTGCCCTGAACATGCTTTTCATTCACACCACACTTAAGAGCCTTCCACCTGTCTGCAAGGAATTCCTTTGTGCGGCGTTTAAACGTCTCTACACATCTGGGAAGGTGTCAGGATTTAATTATGGTTTAGAGATGCGGCATAGGATAGAGCCCTGCTTGAGGAGACTCATCTGGCAAGGTTGAAGGTTGATTCATTCTTTTCTTTCTGAGGACCAGAGTACCAGCATTTCCTCTTTGGGAGAAATCTGGATCGAAGTGGTGAGCCCAGCATACAATGGTATCATATCATTAAGGGAGAGAAAGCCTGCCTTCAGCAGCCATTAGCCTTGAAGACCATATGACTCTATTATTATTATGTTTTTTCTCTTTTGGAGGCAGGTTCTCACGTAGCCAAGGCTAGTCTCTGACTTACTATGTAGCTAGATAATCTTGAACTTCTGACCCACCTGCCTGCATCTCCCTAGTGCTGGGATTACAGGCGTGTGGCACCACGTCGAGTGTGTATGATGGGACCCCGTGCTTTGTGCACGCTAACCAGGCAAACACTTTACCAACTGAGCTACGATCCCAGCATGCCCCTCCAAACTCCTCATGAATTCATGAAGACGCTGGTACTTGGCATTAGGCCCTCGCTCATCCATCATCTTAGGTAAGAGGCTCAGCTCAAATGTAAACTCGGGGATCTAGAATGTTCTCTCCAGAAGAGGGCCCTGAGAGGAAAGGCACAAGGAGAAGACATCTGGAGGGCTCAGAGTGCATGCAGCACCTGAATGGTGTACTGTGACAATAATCAGTGCTGTCACACAGGTCCACACTGACCAGAGGGCACATTTTGATTTTGGGAATATTAAGATACATGGTGGGAAATGCCCTCTTTGGAATCAAAGGTCAAATTTCTAAAAAAAAAATATAAAAGTTTCCTTCTTGACCTTGGACCCTCCTAAGTGACAGAAACTGATAATGGGGCTCCGATGTGGGGACCTCCTTCCTAAATGCTACCTGACTCTTCCTCCAGGGGGCGCTGCACTAAGCGCCATCAGGGACATAGTCTCCATGTGTGTGTCTGCATAAACTGAAACAGCCTTGCAGAGTGAGGAGCCCAGTATTTTATTTCGGCCCCTGCCCACCTAAACCTGACCACTTTCCACAGCTCTGCCCTTTGGATTACGGAGGGAAAAAAAATAAAATAACTTTCATTTTTCTGGGCCACAGAATACAAGATGGATGTAGCTGTACAAGGAGCTTACACACTGAGGCAAGAAATGCGTGCAAACAGGGTAGGGGGTCTTCTCCCCCGTGGGTGAGTCAGTGCTCCACACTTACAAGGACCTCTGTGACTCAGACCCCAGAGTCCACTTGGGAGTGTTTCCGGCTTTATTAACAGTGTTCAAATTCCAGCTCTGTCTTCCCTCTAGAGAGAGAATATCTGTGTCCATGGTACTGATGATTCCTGTGAACCATTACTGTCGGTGTTCTTTTCCTAGCGTGGTTTCACAAAGAGGCCCTGGAGCAGTCTTGGAGGACAAAGAGTACAGGTGTCTGAGAACCACATAATACTGACTTTTCTTTTTCTTTTTTTTTTTGGTAACAGTCCATGAAATGTGCGCCCCCTCTGTCCTGAGAAATAGCGAGGCGTGAGGGGAGCTGGAGATGCTGTGGGTGCGACACTGTTCCGTGTGAGATCATGATCATGCAGCTGACGGTGACAGGACTGAGGACTGGGAGAGAGTCTCCAGGCGGAGGGCCAGGGGTCTCCAGGAAGTTCCTGGCTCAGGGGAACACCGGTATGTCCAGTTCTTGTTGGGGGAGTAGGAACCACCTCCTGGGGGCTCGCCATCATGGGCGGGTCTTAGCCCTCATCTTCCCTCAGCTCTGTGGGCAGGAATTTGTACTGCTGCTGGCGGATCTGGGCCAGCTTCTTCCTGGCTTCCTCCAGCTCTCGTTCCTTCTTCAGCATTTCCTCCTGGGCTGCAATGATCTGCAAGAGAAGAAGAGTGGAACGGATCTGAGACTTTGGCGGAGGCCTGTCTTCCGCAGCCCCTCAGACAAAGGACGCAGAACAACATTCTTTTTGAAAGAACAAAACATGTATTTATGTATGTTGAGGGTATGTGCGTGTGCCTTAGCACACATGTGGAGGTCAGAGGACAATACGTAGAAATCAGTTTCAACGTGTGGGTCCCAGAGATTGGACCCAGGTCTCCAGGCCGGTGCCATATGCCTTTACCATGCATGCATCTTTACTTGCTGAGCTGTAATACTGGCCCAGGAACATCGTTCTTAGCTCTGGAAACTACCATGGCTTGGTTTTGACACCAATGACCCAGCTGATTAGGAAATGAAAAGCTGACTTCTGGGTAGAGACTGAGCAACGAACATCTCTTGTATGCACAGCAGGCTTTGTGTCTGCACTTGACTTAGATTGTCCCACTGCTTTTGTGGCAAGCCTGTGAGAGTCCTGTATTTACAATGAAGGAGCTGAAGCTGAGGGTGGGCCATCAAAGTGGCTCGGGCGTGCAGGTAGAGCTAGGCTCCTCAACTGCTAAGTGGCCTTCATGTAAAGCTGGCCCTTAGTATCTGCGGGGGATGGAGTCCTGGACTCAAGAGTCCTAGTCGGCTAGACCCTCAAATCTATGGAGGATCAAGCCCTTGGTATAAAATGGCACAGTCTTTCCATGCTACCTATGAATCTCCTCCCATATTTATTACTTGTTTAGTGAGTATTTGCATATATATATGTATATGTACATGTATAGGTACACCTCTGTGTGTGTGTGTGTGTGTGTGTGTGTGTGTGTGTACTTATACGCAGAAGCCAGAGGTCAGCTTTGACTGTTGTTCCTCATGGAGCCATCCACCTTGTTTCTGGGAACAGTGTCTCTGACGGTTACCTGGGACTAGGCCGGCTGGCTAGCAGGCCCCAGGGATCTGCTCTCTCTCCTCTGCACCGGTACTATGCATATATGCACACTATACCTAATTTTTTTTTTAAACATGGAATTTGGGGATCAAACTCAGATCTTCATGCTAGCATGGCAAACACTTTATTTACCCTCTGGGCCATCTCTCCAGCTCCCTTTTGCATATTCTGAATACTCTCCAGATGGCTTACAGGACAGAATGTAATGTGAACAGCAGGCATGCGGCTGCTAAACAGAATGGTTTCAAGAATGACCGGAAAAACAGCCTTTCTAAAACATCCAGTAGAGTCGCAGTTTTTCCTGAATATTGTCAAGCCACTGTTGGCTGAATCCAAGGATGTGAAACTTGTAGAGAGATACAGAAAACAAATACACACATTTCATGCTTCTAAGGTCTAAATCCGAGGAATACTAGTTAACTGCTACAGTGGGACTAGGTAAGTTTGTGTCTAAGAGAGCCAAATACGTTCCTTTCAGTAGACCCTTCCAGAATGTCCACTCTGCCCACAAATGTATTAATCAAGGTGTGGGGGACTAGATGCAGTAGGATTTCCCAAATTCGATTGATCAGGGACTCTTTTATGTGAGACTTCTAAAGGAAGAAGTAAATACAAAACACTTTCTGGTAAAACAAAACCAAAAAACAAAAAACCAACCTGTTCTATAGCTAAAGCCTGGTAAGTTTGCAAGAGTCCAGGCGCAGGGAACACTGGGTGCTGATAAGAACACAGCCCCATGTAACATACATACATACATACACACACACACACACACACACACACACACACACACACACACATATATATCATCCAAAACCCACAGGCCTCGCTCCCTGGCATTTCCTCTTTACTTCCATCCAAAACCCACAGGCCTCCCTGGCATTTCCTCTTTACTTCCATTCATGAGAACACACTCCTGCCTAAGGCAACCCAAGTCTTCTTGTAACAGTTCCAGAGAGAGAAGGGTCCATTCTGCCTACAGAGGGATTGACAAGGTGGCTATCCCAAAGATATCACTGCTGTACCCTAGGCTACTCTCTGTTCCTTTCTTTATAATAGGACACCTGACTTTTAGCTAGGAACATGACTATGCAGGAAAGAACCTCATATTTCCCATCCTGCACGGTGACTACACGCTAACCAATGGTCCAGGGGAGGAAGCGAGGTTTGTAAATTCCAGCACTTGTCCCTTTCCCTCTTCCTGACAGAAGGGACACTGAGGTTGGTAATTAAGCCATCTTGGACCCAGTTGCTAGGGGCAGCATTTAGGGAGGAAGAATAAGGTGCAGTCCAGGTCTCAAACACGGCAGAAGCATCACCCCCGCCTTCCCTCATGGCTTATAGCCAGTTACATTCAGAAGAGATGGACTTGCATCCTGTTCAAGGCCCTGCTTTGTCGAGCATCCGCTGGAATACCTGTCTTGGCAGGTGCACACGACGGTGCGTCTGGCCGCTCACCTGAGCAATGCCTCCCACGAACTTGGTTTTCACGACAACATCGTCATCGTCAGCTTTGCCAAATGCTGCCTTCTGGGCCGCACGGACAAGATTGTCTGAGGCTCTCTTCACAGCATTCCCTGCCGCCTGGAGAGGGAACAAGACGCACATGACATCATTAGCAAGAGAGCGTGAGTCTGGCAAGAAGAACAAGATGTGAAGTTCATGAGACCAAGTTATAACACAGAAGTTATCTGGAGCCAGCGAGAGACGTCAGCTCCTCCAGCACTGGCACCTAAGTACACTTCTTCAGTGAGGAAGCGAGATATAGTTCCTGGCTCCCAAAAACATAGCAACTTTCACAAAAAACAGATGCTTTTTTTTTAAAAAAAATGTTTTTATGTGTGGTGGATATGGAGGCCAGAGAACAGCCTCAGACACGCCACCTACTTCCTTTGAGACAGGGTCTCTCAGTGGTCTGAAGCTCATCAACTCGGTTAAGCTGGCCGGGTGGTGAGCCCCAGGGTTGGTCTCACCTTTACCTTCCTGGCATCTGGATCGAGAACATTGGACACCACACTCAGCTTTCTTACGTGGGCTCTGGGGATCTAGCTCAGGCCTTCATTCTTTCAGAGTGAGCGCTTTACTGACTCTTGACTCTCTCTGGCTCGAGCACAAGCTTTTGAGTTGGAATTGAAGGTCATGCAATAAGCGGCACATGCCTGTGACAGAAGTAGACTCAGGCTGTCCTCGTCTGGAAAGCCACTGCCCCTTGTTCCTAACTAAATGTGTTTGAAATTATGGCTCAGGTTTCATGATTCTCTGCACGGGGTGGCCCTGGCTCATGTTCTCTCAGTCAGTGTTTGTGGGTGCTCTGTGCTGGCTTTTGACAGCCCTTGCCATGCCTGAGTCTCTCTGACAGGGACAGCTCTGGCCTGGGTACTAACAACTTGAGGGCAGGGCTGTGATTAAACTCTCGGTGCCTGCAGTAGCTGCTACGGAGGCTGCTCGGAGTTGGGATTCACTGACGGTTTCCTGAGGGAGTAGAGGGCTGTGAGACCAGGGAGCACCCACTCTTGTGTCCAGGTTTAAGAGCCTTGGAAGGCATGAGACTTGACGGATATAAAGTAAGGCACAGCCAGACGTATGCTTTAGAAACAAAGGTGAAGAGATTGCTGGAACGTATCTCATAGACTGTCGATGGAAATCTCCATCTTTTTATTACAGACTCTTGTCCATTCGAGTTTACTCGTGGGCGGAGGTCAGAAGTTGGCTGCCCAGCGAGCCCTAGGGAGTTTTCTATTTCTGCCTTCCTCACACTGGGATTATAGGCACACGCAACTGGGTCTGGCTTTTATGAGGGTACCGGGATCGAACTCAGATCCTTATGCTTGTGCACGCACACACTTTACCCACTGAGCCATCTACTTAGCCCTTGGTTTACTCTTAGCAGCAGGGCCTTGGGGAATTGCATTCTGCAAGCTGAGGTTTGGAATTATCTCTCAGTGGTGAGCAAAGCTTCCTGAGGTTTCCAATGTCCCTTGCCCATTTCCCTCAGAGTCAAGAGTTTGTATCCAAGGGACAGCCAGGACTTGGGACTTCTGATCGTCCAGCTTCCACCTCCCAAGTACTGCTCACAGGCTTACACCATCGACCTTGTTTTATGTGGCATTAAGAATTAAACAGAGCTCTTTCCGCCATCTTGGAGCCTGTGGAGGCCTGCTGGGAACAGGACTTCTAAAAGCAAGTATGTCTGGAAGGCTGTGGTGCAAGGCCACTTTTGCTGGCTACAAGCGAGGTCTCCGAAACCAAAGAGAGCACACGGCTCTTCTTAAAATTGAAGGTGTTTATGCCCGAGATGAAACCGAGTTCTACTTAGGCAAGAGATGTGCTTATGTGTACAAAGCAAAAAACAATACAGTGACTCCTGGAGGCAAACCAAACAAAACCAGAGTGATCTGGGGGAAGGTAACTCGGGCCCATGGAAACAGTGGCATGGTTCGTGCCAAATTCCGAAGCAACCTTCCTGCAAAGGCCATTGGACACAGAATCCGTGTGATGCTGCACCCATCCCGGATTTAAACTAATGCAGAGTAAATAAATAAAGATAGATTTGTGCTCTTGTAAAAAAAAAAAAAAAAAAGAATTAAACAGAAAGCTGAATCTGTGCTGGGGAAGCAATCTGGCAGCCAGCCGGAGCCCTCGCCCTGGAACCCAGAGCTCTCTTAACCCAAGTGTTTTCCTCAGAGCGCCTCCTATATGTAGGAGTCCTACATCCAAGAAAAGTAAGGATTTTAAAAATCACAGGAGACTCCTGAGTCTCTACGAATCACCTGGACTTTCTGCCCTTTATGACTTTACTCATGATACATATATCAGATTCTTCTAAGCAATACAAATGATCTACATCATAGCAGTTATCAGAGTAAAATTCAAGAAAACTGGAAACAAACACAATGTCTGAAGCATGGGGAAACTGGCAGAGTCAGCTGATGTAAAACCATGCAATCACTGAAAACGACACTCATGAGGAATGGCACCTCCATCTCAAGGAGAAACTGCATGGTACGAAATGCGACAGGAAGGCAGATGCATCTCGCTATGACCACAACCAGACGCAAGCATCTCACGTAGGTGATGAGAGGAACAGAAAACCAACATCTGATGCGTGGGGCACTGAGGCAGTGCAGGGCTTTTCCCATTTCAAAAGGCTCCTTTATTGTGTTTCAAACAGTCCATATACGTGTGTGTATACATGTATATATATCTGTGTGTGTGTGTGTGTGCCCACACGCCATGTGAAAGACAGAACACAACGTGTGGGAGTTCTCTCCTCCCACCATGTAGATTCTACGGATCTAACTCAGGTCATCAGGCTTAGCAGCGAGCGCCTTTACCCACTGAGCCATCTTTACCCCTCCCAAAGAGTTTTCTAATTAAAACAATCAGAACAATGTGTATGTATGGGGGAAGGACTTGATTGTTAATTACATACTTTCTGGGTCCTGGGAAGGAAACCTTAGCAACTTTCTTAAATCCCCACTGTGCTCTCTCCCCCTGCTGGAGCAAATCCTAAGGCCCTTCTCTGAATCGGGTGCCATGATGAAGACGGATTACCTGAGATGCTTACAGCCAAGACACACAAAAACAGAGGCAGGGGAGCCATGTGACAGGAATCATTAAGAGTGACCAGGCCAGGGGCTCTGGCAGGAGAGAGGAGGGAGTCAGGAAGAGTTTCAGTCACAGAAGACCAACAGAAGTTTGCTGGACTGGTCTGGTGGGAGGCCAGACCATTCCAGGTGAGTGATGGCCCACGGGCACCGGCCCACAAGGCCCGGGTGCTGTGTGGATGTGGTGGGCAGTGGTCGTGAGATGCACGGATGCAGACGGCAGAGGATGAGGCTGGAGAGCGAGACAGAGCTGGCTGATGGAAAGCCTGGTGGGTCATGCCAAGGAAGTGAGACGATCCCCTTTGGTGACACTTACCCGCTCCAACAGGAGTATTTTCCCACCAGCATCAGTGACCATTACCTGTAGCCGCTTCATGGCCTCTGAGTCCTGGTCGGCCTTCACCTTGCAGGCCACCAGCAGCTGAGCAGTTGATGCTGCCACCTGCTTGGCGGATGAGATGAGCTTTTCCTCACTGGCATGTCCCTGAACAGAGGCATTGGCTGCCTCACAGAGACTGCTGGTCGCTGCTGCCACCATCCGGGCCTGAGGACAGTCAACAAAGAAATGACTCAAGGGCCAAACCTCCCTCGAGGGTATCCACAAAGCAAATGAAGAGGAAATGAAGGTGACTCACAGCAGAGATCAGCCCCTGGGACCACTGTCCGTCGTCAGCAGCGTTGGCAGGGATGGAGCCCACCTGGGAAACAGAGGAGGGAAGTTGGCAATGAGCAGGGTGACCTGCAGCCACCCCAGATCTTTCTGTACCCCGAAACTAGCCATACAGCGCTGTCTGGTCACCTTAACCAATAACACTGATCTTGGAATGGTCCAATCATTCCTTTCACAGGACCCCAGCTATAGATCCACTGGGTCAGTACCTGCTGGCTGGTATTGACCGGCTCCATATACCCCCATATGGCCTTTCTAGATAGGTTTGGCCTATCTCTGATGCTGATTTCCTCTGTTGATCTTTCCTTTGTTATAAACACCGAGGCTTCCTCCTTTTAGGGTCAAGGGCATTTAAATATCTCCTTCTCCCACCTTGAAAGCCCTGGGGTGGGATTCTGGGAGAAGATTTGTAAGATATCTCCCTCTCTGCAAATGAGGGTAGACTGTGTCTTAAGGAAATACATTTTCCCTGTAGAGGGGACAAAGGGGCTTGAAGGAAGAATCAGCTCTGTTTCTGCTTAGAGATCACAGCAAATGAGATTATTATTATTATTATATTATCATTGGTCCAGATCTAGAAGGTTATTGCTGCAGGAGCTGAGAGATGAGTACATCGATCTGAAACCAAGGAGGTAATTACAGATACCTCCTGAGTGTCAGGAGAACCCCAAGACTCTCATATAATCCTATACGATTATAGGATTACCCGAACTTCCTTTCTCAACTTTTATTTTTTTTTTTTTAAACATTGAACCATAGTTTTAAAGATTTATTTATTTATTTTATTTATGAGTACACTGTAGCTGTCTTCAGACACACCAGAAGAGGGCATCGAATCTCATTACGGATGGTTGTGAGCCACCATGTGGTTGCTGGGATTTGAACTCAGGACCTCTGGAAGAGCAGTCAGTGCTCTTAACCGCTGAGCCATCTCTCCAGCCCCCTTTCTCAACTTTTAAATGCCTGTACAAACCAAGTCCCACAGAGGACAGGAAACCTACCACATTCAGGGAAGACCCTCTGGTATACAGCCATCTGTTTAGCATACAGATCTTTTACTATGGTTGGGGGAAGCTAAAGGCTTCAGCCATCTATCTTTGTCTCTATCGGCTGTCCAGCCAACAAGAACTTAATGGAAAGGGATGGTAAGCTGAGCTCGAGGCACGGCCTACAGAGATTCAGTGACAAGCCCAGTGGTCAGCCCTCAGGCTTGGGTGGGAAGATGTGTATCTACTGATCTTGAGAGACATGCCACATGACGGTCTAGAACGAAGAGTTCTCTCAGACTTGACCCAACTCTTTTCATACAAACAGAAAAGGCCCCACAATACACACACACACACACACACACACACACACACGTGACTGAATCCGCCTCAGATCAACAACTCGACAGGTTTCTGAAGCGCCATTGTATTGTTGTATTTGGGATGCCCTCAGCAAGATCCAATCTGGATAGACTGGCTCCATGTATGGGAACAACAGGACATATGACATCTTTTAAACGTTGAAAAGCTTTTACACGGGTCGACTGGGGGAATCTCAGATTTAAGTCCAGATGGCTTTGTGAGCCACAGGCTCAGCAAGGCACTAACTGGCAAGCTGACCAGCATTTATTTACTCAATGGTCCTAAAACCAAGTGGAGGCATTTGGAAGTGGGATTCTAGAGCCCCTGAACTATGGCACTTACCAGGAAATGCTGACAGTTTAGACAGCCTAACGTACAGTGGGACTCTAAGTGTCTCTTTCAGGCCCTGCTCTTTGCCTGGAGTGGGATGTTTTCCTTAACGAGAAGCACATGAGAGGCCTAGAAGCCGAAGCTTTCACTGAGCAGATGGAATTTAAGCAGTTTTCAGTGGTGGCGAGACAACTTGTAAGCCAGCAACAGGATCCCAACATGCATTTCTTTTCTCAAGCCAAACATTTTTCCTCTCTCCCCCAGTGGCTCTCCCTCCACGGATGTTCTGTGGCTGAGCCCGCCACGGTGACCCACCTTGCCTTGGGCCACCAGCTCCCTCTGTGCTGCTGAGGCCGATTTGACCAGGGCACTGGTGGCAGCGGCGATGGATTTAGCAGCTTCTAAGATCTGTTCTTCAAAATCCAGGGTCTCGTCTGCTTGCTATAATGAAAAGAAAGCCCAGTCACATGCAACGCACAGCCACAAGGGACTCTCTGCCAAGCTACTTACTGCTTGTTCACCTGGCTCTTCCAGCACCTATTGCTTTTTGTTGACAAGCCACACCCAGGGCTGGGAGGCCTCTCCATCTGTGGCCTCCCCTCCCCCTCCCCTAAAAAGTAAAAGTTATTAGTGGTGACAGTCTACACTCGTTTTAAATCAGAAGAGTCTGAGACAGAGTACTTTTCCAAACCACAGTCTTTAAAATCCAACGTGAGCGAGGCACTCCGAAGGCCCCAGAAATATCAATAGTGTCATTCAAAGTAATCAACCATCAAAGTCAAAGAGGATGAGCAGTGACATATTTGGCCAGAATGTCAAAAACGGGCTTGAACTTAAGGGAAGATGGTTGTTAGTTCTAAAAAGCCTGATTCTGCTTGGGTGCAAACAGAAGGGACTCAGGACAGTTCTGCTGTTGAGTTTTATGTCGATCACACGGTACCTGGTAGTGGAAGAGAGAACAAGGTAGCTTCAAGGTGGTGTTTGTTCAGTTACCCCAGCGCCCAAGCATGGCTCTGCCTCAGGAAGAGCCCTGGGCACCCCTGTGCAGATGTCAAGCACCAGAGGCAGATGGTAACTCACCACCGCCTCCACATCCCCTGGTGCCAAGCCAGGAAGTTGGGAAGGTACTTTGGGGGAAAACAAGCAAGTATAAAGATGGTGGTCCCAGGATGGGTAGAACGGAGCACAGAGTGGCCGGACAGCGGAACCTCTGAGGTCTATTGGGTTTACTATTCTGTGTGTCTCTAGGTTAATTTGGTTTGATTTTCCATAGGCAGTTGGAAGATGTCAGACATTAATTAGAAGATAGAGGTTAGTATGTATACTAAACTCAGAGTCTAACTGGCTCCATAGATAATCTTGTGTACACAACTCAGAGGCATTACGTATGTTCACGTTAACAGTGGGCCAGTTCTGAAGACCTACTATCTGGCCAATCATTTTGCTGCATAGTCTGTGTTAATGCGCTCTGTCGCGCAAACAATTTACTGGAGTTATCTTTACGTATTTTCTAAGATGAGAAGACCTAGGTTTAGCGAGGTGACTGAGCCTAGGCAGCTACATACCGACCACGGGATACCCAGTGGTATAAGAGGAGTCAAAACAGCAAAGCTTCAAGGTCCGAAACGGTGGGCCTAAGGTCATGTGGCAGCGGGAAGAATCTGAGCCATAATCTAAACCCAAGTCTTTCTGAATTTAAAGTTATGCAGATCAGGTTACCCCCGAGGGCGCCACAGAAAGACGGCTTTGTACCACATAGTCACAACCAGCCTGCAAATGGGTTGTTTGACACTTGAGTCAGGACGGATATAGTTCTTCCTTAGATCCCTACCCCCACTTTTTCCTCTTCCCCCACTTGTGTGTGTGTATGTGTGTAAAGCAGTAGTCTTGGGTGTCACACCCAAGACTTGGGTGTCGGTAGGGGCCCCACCTCATTTTTTTGAGCCAGGCTCTCTCACGGACCCAGGGCTTATCTGTTTGGCTGAGTTTCACAGCAAGTACCAAGAATCTTCTTGTCTCTACTTCCCCAGTGCTAGGATTACAACTAGGTACCACTGTACCCAGCTTTTTTTTTTTTTTAATATGGGATCTGGGGATCAAACTCACGCTTTCACAGTTCCCTTGACCCCTACATCTCTATTCTTAATAACTGTATCTATCTTGAGCCTTGAAAAATATGAGTATTTTTTGCAACTCATGCTATCAAAATAAGAATGGAGTGCACTAGAAGTGGATGCTCTAAGCTCCCAGAGAGAACAGGAACGCATGTTTCTTATTTCTGACAACAGTCTTGCTCAAAGGGTATTCAGGATAGAAAGGGGCTCAGCTTAACGGGCTCATTCTGGGTTAGAAGAGTCTGGGACTTGTTTACTATAAAAATGACTTTTTATAGGACATAATATGTACTCATAATATGGCATAAAATGTACTCATATGAATAGGCCCCAAATGTGTGACATTAGGTTTATATAGAGATGAAGAAACACACATGAATATATATGTTGTATATATTCATTTGATGACCTGGAGATTAAGAGTTTTTCTGGAAATTCCTTCTGCAAGAGAAAGTGAAGCACACAACAGATTAGGCCGTCAGGAGACTCACCAAGGGGGCCATTTCCTCATTTCTCAGAGGAGGCAACAGAAGCCTGTGGTAGCCCCCGACGCCTCCCAGTCTCTTGCTTCAAGTGGCCTTAGAGCCCAAGTCTACGCTACAGCAGAATGCCCATCATCAGATTCTGATTGGAGCCTCAGGAAAAGGGAGTTTCCTTATAATTCACTGCCAAGCCTTTGCCTACAGGGATCTTTGTCACTACTGATCAGATCTTTTCCATTTTCTGCAGGTTTTGATTTTAATCTTTCTATTTTCTAAAAATATACACTTAAACATCTAACTTGGAAGTATTTTTGGCACCCATAGATTTTTCCTACGATGGCAAGCATTTTGATGCTTTATTTTCCTTACTTTTCTTTCTATCCCATCCCTGGACTTGAAATGAGACACAGCGCATAGTCTTATCTTCAGGAGCTCCCACTTGGACACAAAGTGCTCCCCCAAACCTCAAAGGCAGCTGCTCATATGTCCTGGCCTGGATTGCTATCTCCCTCTGAGCCAAGGTTATCGCTGGGATGAAACACCGGCTGTAACCCCATGGACCAGCCATCCTCTAATTGCATGGACAATGGGATCTCCTGCAGTGGGTAGACTTGCTGAAAGCACAGCCCTGGCCTGTGGTTTGTCTACCAGTTGGCAGAATGGAGACTTGAAGTAGGGACAGTAGGACAGCAAAAAGGGGCCATGTGGTAAAGAGAGAAGAGAGGTTTATTCTCTGAAGGACTATCCTATATAAAAAGAGTCACAACCTATATGCAAGGTGTCCCCTCAGAGCTAGGGGTGGAGGCAGCAGTGTAGAACAGTAGCCAAGGACCGCCAGTACAGAATCTGCAGAGCAGGCACCAAGACTCCTCAGGTCTGTTCCCCTCACACAAAGCTCTTGTTCCTATCTTCTCTCCAGAAGGCTGAGTTGTCACTTTCCTCATTAATGGAGACCTTTTGCTGACCTGAGCCAGGACAGTCAAACCTGTCTCTAGATTCAGAAACTGGAGGTCTCTGACATGCTTAATCCTGAGTTACTTTCCCTAACAGCTGGGGCTTAAACATGCCCTTAAAGAGCATGACTGGGGCTGGTGACATCAGTAACAGCTTGCCACTAAGCCTGGTGACTTGAGTTTGATCCCTGAAACCCAAATAATGGAAGAGCTAACTTCTTAAAGTTGGGGTACATCCCTAACCCCCAGAACTGACTAAATAAATTTAATCTAGAAAAAAGAAACATGAATAGGCTCATGCATATGGCTTTGAGAAGCCACGGGCTCACCAAATAGTCCTTGTGCAGACTCACGCATAGACCTGGATAAAGACGCACACTGTGCCTCGGGAGGTCTGGGTGAGGTTCAGGAATTTTTGTTTCTAAGAGAGGTGGTTAGGGACCACTGTAGAAAACATAGGCCAGTTAACGTCATCCCACCCTTCTGTGATTTTCTCGATGCTTTATTCAGCTCGTGTTTCTTTCGTACAAAACCAGGCAGAAGAGCAAACGTGATGAATGTCAGTTAAATGACACGGTATCATATTTTAAAAGAAGGCTGGCAAAGTCTAGAGTTCAGCCAGGAGAGAATTGAAGCGAGGGCTAGGGGTATGGCTCAGTCAGCAGAGGGCTTGCCTAGCACGTACAAGGTCCTGGATCTGATGCTCAGCACTGCATACACAGGGTGTGGCGGTATTGTATACACTTATAATCCTGGCATGCAGGAGGATCAGAAGTTCAAGGCCATCCTCAGCTCTATGGAGAATTAGAGGCCAGTCTGGGTTACACGAGACCTGTTTCTGGCATTTAACCATATGGTCACTGACATCTGTAAACATTTTATCAAAAGCACTTACTTAAATTGGTTCTGTAAGGATGGTTAGCAGATATATAAAGTGCCATCTAATGAAGACGGTCACTCATTGTCCCATTCTCGGGTGCCATGCCCCTTTTACTCATCTCCCCTAGAGGAAAGGCCACTGGCTGGGTCACGGCCAGCTCCTAGCCCTGTTTGTTTGTTTTTGTTTTTTTTTTTTTTTTGGGGGGGGAGTCTGCTTGTCTGCAGCTGAAGGTGGGGTTGTTCTCACCTGGGTTGTGTGACAGCTTCAAGAGATCTGGATAACCTTTAGTGGCATTTTCCTGTTGTTGGCTATCTGCAGGGACCAGCATCTAAAGGCAGGGAACTGCCAGGCAACGTGGAACTTGGAGTTGGGTTTCTTGCCAGACCACTTCCCATGTTCAGGAGTAAACCTGAGACCCCTGAGTCTGCTCCGACACATCTCGGATTCCAGAAGCTTGTGTCCCATTGGGCAAGGAGAGGGGGAAATCATATAGAAAGAGTACCTTTTTGTTCATTTTTTATCTTATGTATCTGTCTTTTGGGAATCTTAACTTATTTTTGCAATGTCTCATTCCATTGGGCAGGATGCTGGAAGTAATTTTTCTATGTAAAACATGACCAGCTCAGGGTAGACACTAAAGAATGAGTAACGACTACGTTCCCTGCCATCTCTCCTCACACCTGACCCTTGTATTGGGGGTTGAACCCAAAGTCTTGTACATGTGGGGCAAACTCTACCACTGAGCTATATTTCCAGGTTCCTCATATTTTAAAAATTGCTTTTTTTTTTTTTTTTTTGCCGGGCGGTGGTGGCGCACGCCTTTAATCCCAGCACTTGGGAGGCAGAGGTAGGAGGATTTCTGAGTTCGAGGCCAGCCTGGTCTACAGAGTGAGTTCCAGGACAGCCAGGGCTACACAGAGAAACCCTGTCTCGAAAAACAAAAAAAAACCCAAAAAAACCAAAAAAAAAATTGCTTTTTTAGGTTCTTTACATAAAGCAAGTCTATTTGGAT